AATCTCCCCTATGACAGCTAATCTGATTCACCCAATCTCCCCTATGACAGCTAATCTGATTCACCCAATCTCCCCTATGACAGCTAATCTGATTCACCCAATCTCCCCTATGACAGCTAATCTGATTCACCCAATCTCCCCTATGACAGCTAATCTGATTCACCCAATCTCCCCTATGACAGCTAATCTGATTCACCCAATCTCCCCTATGACAGCTAATCTGATTCACCCAATCTCCCCTATGACAGCTAATCTGATTCACCCAATCTCCCCTATGACAGCTAATCTGATTCACCCAATCTCCCCTATGACAGCTAATCTGATTCACCCAATCTCCCCTATGACAGCTAATCTGATTCACCCAATCTCCCCTATGACAGCTAATCTGATTCACCCAATCTCCCCTATGACAGCTAATCTGATTCACCCAATCTCCCCTATGACAGCTAATCTGATTCACCCAATCTCCCCTATGACAGCTAATCTGATTCACCCAATCTCCCCTATGACAGCTAATCTGATTCACCCAATCTCCCCTATGACAGCTAATCTGATTCACCCAATCTCCCCTATGACAGCTAATCTGATTCACCCAATCTCCCCTATGACAGCTAATCTGATTCACCCAATCTCCCCTATGACAGCTAATCTGATTCACCCAATCTCCCCTATGACAGCTAATCTGATTCACCCAATCTCCCCTATGACAGCTAATCTGATTCACCCAATCTCCCCTATGACAGCTAATCTGATTCACCCAATCTCCCCTATGACAGCTAATCTGATTCACCCAATCTCCCCTATGACAGCTAATCTGATTCACCCAATCTCCCCTATGACAGCTAATCTGATTCACCCAATCTCCCCTATGACAGCTAATCTGATTCACCCAATCTCCCCTATCACAGCTAATCTGATTCACCCAATCTCCCCTATTACAACTAATCTCATTCACCCAATCACCTATTTATCCCCCAATCTCCCCTATGACAGCTAATCTGATTCACCCAATCTCCCCTATAACAACTAATCTCATTCGCCCAATCTCTCCTATTACAACTAATCCCATTCACCTAATCACCGATTTATCTCCCCTAATACAACTAATCTTATCATCCAATCGCCTAATCCTTCCCCAATCTCCCCTAATCACAGCAATTAAGTGGCCGGATCGACAGCTGTTGGTGATGTGTTGTGACTACCACATTCACCGTTACATCGACGCCCCCCTCCTCCTCTTCGCCTGGCAACACCTGTGTATTTCGGCCGATATTCGCCAAGACACGTTGGTGGTCGTGCTTGATGAGACGGTAATGTGGGGGTGGTGCTTGTGGGGTTTGGTTTGGGTGTTTGGTTGTTGTTTTTTTTTGGGGGGGAGGGGGAGGGAGAGGGCTGTTTGTTTTCGGTTGTTTGTTGGTTTCGGTGTTTTTTTTTAAATTTTGTTTCTGTTGTTGTTTCTGGTTCGTATTCTCTGTCTGTTTGTCTGTCTCTGTCTCTCTATGTCTGTCTGTCTGTCTATCTCTCTCTCTCTCTCTTTGCTTTGTTCCATCTGATTGCATTTTTTCTCTAAAGATTAGTGCCTTGCAGATCGTCTTGTCAAAAGTGATAGGAATAGGAAGAATAGCTTCCTGCTCTAAAAAACTTATCTGATATGAACTGATATCTCTTGAATTATCCTTTCCTCAATGTCCGATAGTAATACATAAGATACAGGGTTGTTCCTTGTCTTGCACGATGGATTAGCTTATTACGTAATGATGCAGCAATGTGGCAGAGTATTGTATCCTTATAAGAAAAATAATGACATATCTTCTTATCGTATATTTGACACGTTTCTTCCGTAAAAAGATGAGTCAATTTCCTTTATTGCAGAGCAGTCATGTCTTTCTATGAAACTTTATCCGTGTATCTTTACGAAACATTAGTGATTTCTCTTTATAAAACATTAGTTACGTTTCTTCATGAAAAAAGTTTTGTCTCTTTATCAAATAAAAGTCGTTGAGTCGTTATGAAACATTGGCCATGCCTTTATATGAAACAGCAGCCATGTCACTTTATGTCATGTCCCTTCAAGCAGCAAAGCGCCGTCTGTGTCTCCGTCAGGTGCTGGAGTTCGAGGCGAAGCGCGGGGAGGCGGAGAGCGACCCTGCGACGGCGGTCGTGCGCGGCGCCGGCCAGATCATCCTCGGCCAGAACAACAACCCCGACGCCGAGTGGGACATCACGCAGGCCTTCCACGGCGAGCTCCTGGACTTCAGGATCTACGACGCGGCTCTGGGGCTGGACGAGATGCGGGCGTACGTGGACTGCGCGCCGGAGGGCATCGCCGCGGAGCCGCTCTACGCCTTCGGGAGCAACATGTCCCACCTGCGGCTGAGCGGCGAGAGCAAGGAGGTGGCCTTCCCGATGGGCGAGATCTGCGAGCGCTCCAGGGGCATGGTGATGCTCATGCCGGAGAAGATGAAGTTCGCGGAGGCAGACAAGCTGTGCAAGCTGTTCATGGGCGCGCTGGCCGTCCCGCGCAGCGAGGAGGAGAACGCCCAGATCTTCGACGACTTCATCCGCTTCAACGACCAGTGCATCCAGGGCTGGGCGGCGCTCTACTGGATGGGCCTCAAGAGCGACCCGAACCGCACGGACTGGTTCTACCTGGAGGACGACTCGCGCATCACGTACGGCAGCTGGCTGGAGGGCTGGCGCGGCCCCGACGAGGAGTACCCGTGCGCCACGGGGGCCGCCGTCAACTTCCCCTACTTGTGGTACAAGGCGGACTGCGACACCCTCACCTGCCCGCTCTGCAACTTCACGGCGCCGCCCACGCTGCGCCTCCGCGGCCTCTGCAAGCTGTCCAAGTTCGACCGCACCTACACGCTCATGGACTACCACAACGGGCGGCCGGTGTTCGAGGGCGACTTCTTCACCCGCATCGTGTGGGGCAACGGCACCTGGAGGATGGAGAGCCGCAGGGACAGCGGCGTCGAGGCGCTCATGGTGGAGAAGCGGACGGCGGGCTACCCCCTGGGCCTCGCCGCCTGGGACGTCGAGGGCGACGACTGCGCGCAGCAGAGGGTAGGGCGGGGCGGGGGCGTCGCGGCGGGGGAGGGGGGGATGAGTGAGCCACGATGCAGGGATGACATAGACGAAAAAATAAGGAGCCGTGTTCGCTATTTTTGTTTCCTGTTTGTCTTTACACACAGACGGCTCCACAAATGCTCACAATCAATCAGTTAATCACAAAACTAGCCCTGACTATCTCACAGTGATTACCCGGTAGAATGGGGTAGCATGAAGTTTAATGGTAATAATAATAATAATAATAATAATAATAACAATAATAATAATAATAATAATAATAATAGAAATAATAAAAATAACAATTATGATAATAACAATAATATAGTAATAACAATAATGATGATAAATATAACGATGGAATTGAAAATTATAATATAAAAGGCAAAATAAATGCAATGGTAATAATTATAGAGAAAGAGAATACCAACATCACAGAAATCAGTTGTACAATACATACCCACACGCACAGTCACACACACACACACACACACACTCAAACAAACAAACACACAAACAAACACACACACACACAAACAAACAAACAAATCTCGACTAACCCCCCCTCCCCCCCAGGTCGACTTCCTCCTGACCCCCTGCGACCCCGAGGACTTCACCTGCAGCGACGGCTCCTGCATCAAGATGACCCGCCGCTGCGACCAGAAAACCGACTGTCCGGATAACAGCGACGAATTAAACTGCCGCATCCTCCTCGTTCCCGAAGGATACTCACCCGAACTCCCTCCTCCGAGTCTCGACAAGGACCCGCTCCCGCTCACCGTGGCCTTCGAGATCACCTCCGTCAGGCAGTTCGACCTCATGGGCTTCCGGATGCAGCTGGAGGTCGTGCAGAGCATCACCTGGCGGGATCCGAGGGTCAAGTTCGCCAACCTCCGCCAGGGGGATTTCGTCAACGAGGCGAAGGTAGGGGGAAGGGGGGGGCGGAGTGGAGGTGAGGGGGGAGGGGAAGGTTGGAGGTGAGGGGGGGTGAGGGGAGAGGGGGGAGGTGGGGGTGAGGGGTTGGGGGGTTGGGGAGGGTGGGAATTCAGGAGGTGTGGGTGGGGGGCGGAGTGGTGGTGAGGGGAAGGCTGGAGGCTGGGGGAGGGGGGGGGCGTAGGTGAGGTGGGAGTAAGGGGGAGGGCAGAGGTGGGGGTGGAGGCGGAGTGGAGGTTGGGGAGGGAAGGCTGGGGGTTTGGGTGGGTTTGGGGGGAGGCTGGAGGTGAAGTGGAGTAAAGGGGGAGGGCGGAGGTGGGGGTGGGGCGGAGTGGAGGTTAGGGGGGTGGGGGTTGGGAAGGAGGGAAAGCTTGAGGTGAGGAGGTAGGGGAAGGGGAAGGGGGTGAAGGCTGGAGGTGAGGGGGTAGGGGTTGGGGGAGGGGTGGAAGGCTGGATGAGAGGGGGGGGGTAAAGGCGGGAGGTGAGGGGAGCAGGGTGGTAAAAAGTCTTTTTTAAGTCTTTTATGGCTTCTTTTACTTATTTCATATTTACATATTTTCTCAGCAATAATATCAAAGAAAATATGTCGAGATTTCCTAAACTGCAATAAATCATAAGTGGCAACAGTAAATCAGTAACTAAATCAATTACACTGTCGATATACTAACACGCATTATCTCGAACACAAACTCAGTAACGTGAACACAAAGAGGAGAAGGAAAACATTTCTTATCGGGACTGTCGCCTTTTCGTCTGTTATTTACTGGTCTTAGTTTAGTTTTTTTTATCGTAACTATTTTTTTTAATCATCTGTTATCTCCCTCACATACTTCCCTTTTGCATATTGGCTATTTTCCTTCCTTCTTTCATCTCCCTCACTTATTCTCCTCTTTTATCGTGGTTATTTCCCTTCCCACTTTCATCTCCCTCACTTATTCTCCTCTTTCATCGTGGCTATTTCCCTTCCTTCTTGCGTCTCCCTCACTTATTCTCCTCTTTCATCGTGGCTATTTCCCTTCCTTCTTTCATCGTGGCTATTTCTCTTCCCTCTTTCATCTCCCTCATTTATTCTCTTCTTTTATCGTGGCTATTTCCCTTCCCTCTTTCATCTCCCTCCCTTATTCTCCTCTTTCATCGTGGCTATTTCCCTTCCTTCTGTTATCTCCCTCACTTATTCTCCTCTTTTATCGTGGCTATTTCCCTTCCCTCTTTCATCTCCCTCCCTTATTCTCCTCTTTCATCGTGGCTATTTCCCTTCCTTCTGTTATCTCCCTCACTTATTCTCCTCTTTTATCGTGGCTATTTCCCTTCCCTTTCTTTCACTTCCCTAACCCACGCCACCCTTTTTTAGGCCCGCGAAAAAGTGTGGTTACCAAAAGTGGTGATTCAAGACGGCGCCCGCGGACCAACTGACGTCATCATGAGAGCCGAGTTCCTATTGGTCGACCGCGAAGGACCTCCCCTTCCTGATGACGACACCATGGCGGCCGAGGGTCAGTCTAAGGTCCATTAAACAAAGTCTATATAAGTAAGGTCTCGTCACTTCGGATTTTTTTTGCGCAGCTTTGGGTGATAAGGTCTATGACGTCACTTGGAAAAGCTGAGAACGGGAGGAGGAGGGAATGATGAATGGTAGTCGGGGGGAAGGAGAGGAGAGAAAAAGGGAAGGAAATTAAGCGTTTATTCATCTAAATTGATGCTTTCAAATTCCAGGCGAATTGCACACTGGACTGATATTACAAGCGGTGATTAACAGTTATTGGTAGGTATATTATAGTATATTTTACTTGGTTTCAATTTCGTATTCCCTCGTGCTGTTGCTTAAGTATGATATAATAAAGAAATAAAATGAACAAAAAATACACGGGATATGAATGATATTGTTTTATTCTCTCACGGCATATGTAAAATCCAAAGAATGTCCACGAATTGATTATAAAAATTCAAATCATACAAACAAAATATCAGAACACACATCGCATAATAGTTATAAATTCAAAACAGAGCTAATACACACACATACTTTATACATATATATATATATATATATATATATATATATATATATATATATTAATGATAATAATACATATACATACACATACCTATACATATATAAGTTAAATGTTAATAAACAGGGCGGTCCCAAATATTGCATAACGTCGAAGTGACGTCACGCACAGGAAGGACGAATTTCAGAGGCTCAGTGACTTAGACTTTGCTTAGACTTTGGGTCAGTCGGGATAAGATAATAACTCAGACAGTCGTACAGGAAGTAAAAAAAAAAAAGTATCCCTATTAGCAACACTTATCATATCAGCCAAAAGTTGATATCGCATGAACTCATTCAATCCCTTTAATGATAATTGTCTGCAGTTCGCACTGATTTTGTTGTCCGGATAAGGAGACACTGGACCAATGATTCACCGCGTTTCAGATAAGCTTTACGACGGGACTTCCCACAGCATGAAGATGGTCCAGCAATATACCGTGGGCTTCATGTGTCAGTTTCGGCTTCAGATGTATCCGTTCGATACCCAGCAGTGCATTCTGACTTATAATATCTCCAATATGCGAGATAATTATGAGTTTGTGAAGGTAAGTGGTGTGAATCTTTTATAAATAACTGTTCGTCCGGATCTTAGAGATGTAGTCGAGCTATTTATGATAATATTAAATGATTTCTATTTTCTATCAATACATTTCTCCATGAATGAATCAGCATGAGATTAACGTTAACATACTTAAAATCCCCTTTATTACCAAACTTTTAATCAGGTTTTTAATTTCTATCTAATCACAAAGATAAAAAAAAAATAAAAAAAATGTTTCTTTTCTTTTCTACGGGCACAGAGACTAAGACAGTTAAACAAAAACACAAACCAATACAAAGCAACTGTTGCTTAGTGAGTACGAACGGATGTAAGTAAACAAAGCACTTTACCCACCGCGTGTGTCACCGTGTTCACAAGGCGTGTCATTACTCGATAAACCTACATAAGGGTCATTGGTCTAACGAGGCCGCAGTAGTTGTCAGGAGGAAAAGGTGGTGATAGTGTTGATAATGATGGTGTTGAACTATGAACACTTAGGGCACTTAAGACATGAGTGAGATTTGTAGGTTGGAATGGTAATGACAATAAAATATTCGAATATTAGAATAATGATGATTAATAAAAATGTTAGAGAATACTTGATAGTAATCTGGTTATAAATATGATATTGGTAATGAGGATATGATGATGAAGATGGTGATCATAATGATACGAATAATTATAAAAAAATAACAGCACTTAGGAGGAAATATTACTATGACTGTTATAGTGATAATCATAATATAATAATGATATAGCATATTTAGTAACGGTAATAGTAAAATATTAATGACATTAATGAATTAAAGTTATAGTAATCATTATTATGATCGGATGGAAATTGCAACATCATAATAATAGCATTAATTTGTGAGGATAAAGAGTAAATATATAACATTTTTTTATGATCTTGCTAATACTGACAACACTTACCATTGCGCTAAAAAAAAAAAAAAAATAAATAAATAAATAAATAGAATAAAATAAAATTTATAACATATATAAAACAAACAAGAAAATATACTAGATTACAGAACAATAGAATGACATAAATTAAAGAGAGAGATTTAAATATCATTTCAGCGTACTGTTGCCTCCACTTCCGCCTTGGCAATTTGTGAACCATCTGTTTCGACTCTTTTATCCGAAACACTGGCCTCCTACTGTTTCGGTTACGGGAGTCGAAACGCGGTTCACATATTGTAGTGAGAAGGAAAGTGTTTATTTTATACCTTTTCTTTACTTTTTTCTTCTCTCTTCTAGGGTGGTGTAGACTTCACGGGGGAAAGGAGACTGCTAGAGTACATGTTGGTTAAAGAACAAATGATTAGCCAGGTGAAGAAAGGTCCTGGGGCTGTGCAGGTGAGATCTGCGTAATGATCTGTCGTTTTCTGTGACATTTTAATGATTTTTTTTTTTTAGTTTCTTTTTTGCTTTTGGGTTATTTAAAGTAGTTTCTTTTCTCTTTCTTTCCTATTTTACGGAGAAAGGGTCGAGACGCATGAATCAATTAAATATCGTCGACTTTCGTTTCACACCCAAACCTTCCCTATTTACCTGTTCATTCACTTACCCACCATTATGTTGCGGACGAGTTTTTTTTTTTTTTAATTCCCTCGTACTCACCCTGAAACTAATTCTGTTTCTTTCCCTCCAGGTATTTTTCAAGTTTAAGAACCAGTACGGTTACTACATCGGTAATGCTGTCGTCCCCAGTCTCTTTATGGTTGTCATCTGTTATGTGACGCTATTTTTCGACCTGCACGATTTTCAGGTATTTTACTGGATGTATGCGTGTATGTGTGTTTACTGGATGCACTGGTTAAGTGTATGTTTATTGGATACATGTGGTGAGTGTATGTCTATTCGGATATGTGTGTTAAGTGTATACCTATTGGATACATTTGTGAAGTGCATGTCTATTCGGATACATGTGTTGAGTGTCTGTATATTGGATACATTTGTAAAATAATGTATATCTATTTGGATACAGTTGTTAAGTTTATGTCTATTCGGATACATGTGTAAAGTGCGTATTGAATTTGTGTCTTAAGTGTATGTCCATTTGATACTTGTGTTTAATGTCTGTCTACTAGATGTGTACTTGTATGCGTGTGTATTATGTATATCTGTCTGTCTGTAGCATATCTATTTATCTATCTGTATGCTGGTTCATTTATACTAAGTTACCTGTGTGTTGTGTGTATGTTTAAGTGTCTCTCGATAAATGTTTTTTCTTTTATTATAAGCCCGTATCCCTTTAAATATAGTCTTGCTGAAACCTGAATTAATTGATAATTACCAATGATTTAATTAATATAGTTAATTGTTTTTTTATATTAATATGAAAATAGTTTCACTGAAATACTAATGAAATGATAATTACCAGTGATTTAATTAATATGGAGAAATGATTTAATATCGATATAATTCATGTAGAGATAGTCTCACTGAAATACTGAATAGATGATAATTGTCACTTATTTAATTACTATTAATTCATTTAAGTGATAACAAAATATAAATAATTACTAAATTATAAATTACATGTGATTACCATTGATTTAATTACTATTAATCTATTTCATTGCTAATAGAATGATTTGTATAATATAGATTTTCTGAAGTATTAATTACATAATAATTACCCTTGATTTAATCTAATTAAGATTTAACTCGGCCTTTCCCCCCCATCCCCACCCCCCAGGACCGTATCATGGTATCCCTGACGTCACTCCTGGTTTTGGCGGCCTTGTTCAGCCAAACGAGCCAGTCCATCCCCAAAACGGCCTACCTCAAGCACATCGACGTGTGGTACATCGTCCTCATCACCATCGACTTCCTCATCATCATCATCCTCGTCATTATCGAAAATCTGCGCATGATGGAGTCACCTTCGTCAGGTTCCCGGATGTTCATTCAGGTGGCACCGGCGACGGACTATAAGGAACAGCAAGCGAAGAAGGATTTCTCGCCCACGCCCTCGAGACAGGATCGGAATCGGTGGTGGTGGTGCTTCTTCTTGTCGGCGATGAAGGTGAATCGGATTTCGATCTTCTTCTTGCCCATCGCTACGGTTGTCTTTTGTCTTGTCTTCTTCGTCACCGGTTTCATCACTTATAACTCCAAGTGAAATGGAGTCAGTGTGTAAGCTCAATTGTAGATTTTGGCAATTCCTTTTCTTTTTATTCCATTTTTTACTGTAGGTTCTAGAGATTTTAGCATTTCATTTTCTTTAAATTCCATTTTTACTGTAGATTCTAGAGATGAAAGTCAATAGGCGAGCGATCGTCTTGCCTGTCGCTACGATCGTCTTTTGTTTTTCGTCACGGGTTTCATCACTTATAACTCCAAGTAAAATAGAGCTCCAAATAAAATAAAACATCTATGCACGGTAGATGATTATATTTTTAGACGGAAACGGTTTATGGAGATGAGAGAGCCCAATTGTAGGTTTTTGCATTTCATTTTCTTTATTACTCTTTTTCACTATAGACTCTTGTGATAAAGGTCAATAAGGGATCGATCGTCTTTTGTCTCATCCTCACGGGTTTCATCGCTTATAAACTCCTTGTAATATAAAGGGATATCTGAAAACGACTAATTATTATATATTTTTGGACGAAAATAGTATATGATGATTTTAGACATTAGGGAAACTTTATTTTTAAAAAATCTCAATTATAGCTTTTTGCATTTAATATTCTTTATCATTCTTTTCACTGTTTATAACTAAGTAAACCAGAGGGTTATATGCCCACGGTTGATAATTCTAATTGTAAACGAAAATATGTATATGGTAATTTTAGGCAACAGAGACTATTTTTTAAAACTCACAAGAGAGAGAGAGAGAGAGAGAGAGAGAGAGAGAGAGAGAGAGAGAGAGAGAGAGAGAGAGAGAGAGAGAGAGAGAGAGAGAGAGAGAGAGAGAGAGAGAGAGAGAGAGAGAGAGAGAGAGAGAGAGAGAGAGAGAGAGAGAGAGAGAGAGAGAGAGAGAGAGAGAGAGAGAGAGAGAGAGAGAGAGAGAGAGAGAGAGAGAGAGAGAGAGAGAGAGAGAGAGAGAGAGAGAGAGAGAGAGAGAGAGAGAGAGAGAGAGAGAGAGAGAGAGAGAGAGAGAGAGAGAGAGAGAGAGAGAGAGAGAGAGAGAGAGAGAGAGAGAGAGAGAGAGAGAGAGAGAGAGAGAGAGAGAGAGAGAGAGAGAGAGAGAGAGAGAGAGAGAGAGAGAGAGAGAGAGAGAGAGAGAGAGAGAGAGAGAGAGAGAGAGAGAGAGAGAGAGAGAGAGAGAGAGAGAGAGAGAGAGAGAGAGAGAGAGAGAGAGAGAGAGAGAGAGAGAGAGAGAGAGAGAGAGAGAGAGAGAGAGAGAGAGAGAGAGAGAGAGAGAGAGAGAGAGAGAGAGAGAGAGAGAGAGAGAGAGAGAGAGAGAGAGAGAGAGAGAGAGAGAGAGAGAGAGAGAGAGAGAGAGAGAGAGAGAGAGAGAGAGAGAGAGAGAGAGAGAGAGAGAGAGAGAGAGAGAGAGAGAGAGAGAGAGAGAGAGAGAGAGAGAGAGAGAGAGAGAGAGAGAGAGAGAGAGAGAGAGAGAGAGAGAGAGAGAGAGAGAGAGAGAGAGAGAGAGAGAGAGAGAGAGAGAGAGAGAGAGAGAGAGAGAGAGAGAGAGAGAGAGAGAGAGAGAGAGAGAGAGAGAGAGAGAGAGAGAGAGAGAGAGAGAGAGAGAGAGAGAGAGAGAGAGAGAGAGAGAGAGAGAGAGAGAGAGAGAGAGAGAGAGAGAGAGAGAGAGAGAGAGAGAGAGAGAGAGAGAGAGAGAGAGAGAGAGAGAGAGAGAGAGAGAGAGAGAGAGAGAGAGAGAGAGAGAGAGAGAGAGAGAGAGAGAGAGAGAGAGAGAGAGAGAGAGAGAGAGAGAGAGAGAGAGAGAGAGAGAGAGAGAGAGAGAGAGAGAGAGAGAGAGAGAGAGAGAGAGAGAGAGAGAGAGAGAGAGAGAGAGAGAGAGAGAGAGAGAGAGAGAGAGAGAGAGAGAGAGAGAGAGAGAGAGAGAGAGAGAGAGAGAGAGAGAGAGAGAGAGAGAGAGAGAGAGAGAGAGAGAGAGAGAGAGAGAGAGAGAGAGAGAGAGAGAGAGAGAGAGAGAGAGAGAGAGAGAGAGAGAGAGAGAGAGAGAGAGAGAGAGAGAGAGAGAGAGAGAGAGAGAGAGAGAGAGAGAGAGAGAGAGAGAGAGAGAGAGAGAGAGAGAGAGAGAGAGAGAGAGAGAGAGAGAGAGAGAGAGAGAGAGAGAGAGAGAGAGAGAGAGAGAGAGAGAGAGAGAGAGAGAGAGAGAGAGAGAGAGAGAGAGAGAGAGAGAGAGAGAGAGAGAGAGAGAGAGAGAGAGAGAGAGAGAGAGAGAGAGAGAGAGAGAGAGAGAGAGAGAGAGAGAGAGAGAGAGAGAGAGAGAGAGAGAGAGAGAGAGAGAGAGAGAGAGAGAGAGAGAGAGAGAGAGAGAGAGAGAGAGAGAGAGAGAGAGAGAGAGAGAGAGAGAGAGAGAGAGAGAGAGAGAGAGAGAGAGAGAGAGAGAGAGAGAGAGAGAGAGAGAGAGAGAGAGAGAGAGAGAGAGAGAGAGAGAGAGAGAGAGAGAGAGAGAGAGAGAGAGAGAGAGAGAGAGAGAGAGAGAGAGAGAGAGAGAGAGAGAGAGAGAGAGAGAGAGAGAGAGAGAGAGAGAGAGAGAGAGAGAGAGAGAGAGAGAGAGAGAGAGAGAGAGAGAGAGAGAGAGAGAGAGAGAGAGAGAGAGAGAGAGAGAGAGAGAGAGAGAGAGAGAGAGAGAGAGAGAGAGAGAGAGAGAGAGAGAGAGAGAGAGAGAGAGAGAGAGAGAGAGAGAGAGAGAGAGAGAGAGAGAGAGAGAGAGAGAGAGAGAGAGAGAGAGAGAGAGAGAGAGAGAGA